TTGTACAGTTAGGAAAGTGTCTTAATTATGGTTGTGTGTTGATTGTGTGTTGATTTCCTCTGCCCCTTGCCCCATGAATTTGGACCATATTCTGATTCTCATGAAGACCTCTTCTTTAGTGCCTTAAAAAGACCCAGTAAGCTATTTTGAATAGGAATTACATTTCAATAGGAATGCAGCCTTTTTCTTTTAACCATTAGTACATATGTTACATTCCTAAAAGAGCAAGGCTGAAAGCAGTCTCAGCCAGGAGACTGGGTAGCTTTTTATGGGAATACCTCCAAGTGACAAGCTTTTTGAAATGAGCCATTCATAGCTAATTATTCCTGGTATATATATGTGTGTATATATGTGTATATATATATATATATATAGTATAACCTTCAATATCACTTATATTTTATATGTTGATTTTAACCAAAAAATCAAAAGAAGTTATCGTTGAATACACACTATGATCAGAGTACTCTTGAGTGTCAGAAGGAAAAGGAATGTTGTCCCTGCTCTAAGGGGGCTTGTAGTCTGATCTGAACTCAGCACAGCCATCATAGGGAGATTCAAGCTTAAAGATTGGAATTACTTTCCTCTATGAGTTGGACCTGCCTTTTCTTATTGAAACCTTTCAGAGTGTCGAACATCACTACGCTTTCCTGTCAACATAGTGAGAAGCATTCAGATTTAAATTTTCAGGCTTAGATTTGTGCAGTTGGTATTAAGGGCCTTCTCAGCCAGTAGCTTGGCTGTTCATTCTTTTGTGTTAATTTAAAATAAGATTAATTCTTGAATCTTCTACTAAAAAGAACTCCGCCCTGATTGTTCCCTCAGAAACGTGTTGTTCTTTGCCTGTTGAGACCATGATACCATCTTAGAAGGGAGTATCATATCCTGAGCTCTATGTTGTCTCCTTCTGTGCTCCTTTAGTTCTGTGATGGTCCCTTGCTAATTCCCCTCCCTTTTCAGGAACCATCCAGGTCTCTACCCTCAAAGTTGTCTCTCTCCATACCATCCCCTCTTAACTGCCCTGTGCCTCTCCTTGGCATGTTAGTTTCTGTTGTGTTCTGTCAGCTTACATCCTTGTTTCAGTCCTACAGTCCAGATTCTAACAGTCTTCCCCTAGCTTTGGAAATCAAGCCCCCTTACCACAATGGAAGGCAGCTTTTAAAAGAGTCAAGAGGGGAGGAGGAGAGACTGGTATTCTCCTCTGATCTCAGAGAATAGCACAATTTGCTAGTGAAGATTTCCCTATTTGGCCCAGCTCAAAGCAGTACTAACATCAGACCCTTTGATGCCATCAAAAATGTTTGGGTGAGGGGCAGCTGGGTGATGCAGTAGGTAGAGCACCAGCCCTGGAGTCAGGAGGACCTGAGTTCAAATCTGACCTCAGACACTTGACATTTACTAGCTGTGTGACCTTGGGCAAGTCACTTAGCCCCATTGTATGGCAAAAAAAAAAAAAGTTTGGGTGCTGCCTCTGCTGAGTTCCTTTCAGTAGGCATGGCAGACTGGATAATATTAGACTTCTCTTCTACTCTTTAGTTTTACCTCTGGCACACATTACACTGAGATCTTTTTGGATATAGATAGATAGATAGATAGATAGATAGATAGATAGATAGATAGATAGATAGA